ATTCTATTTTAGAACAATGTTTCAACAAATTTCCAAACAGTGTACTTTGATCTTCATTTAATTGGCAATGTTTTAAACTGAGAACCTTTAAACTGTTTGATGATTCTTGAAGTCCATCACAAATATTCATTTTGCCTCTACCCATCTCTTTATTCCAAAAAAAACTTATTGATTCTATTTTAGAACAATGTTTCAGCATGTTTCCAATCTGTGTACTTTGATCTTCATTTAAATTACACCCATTCAAATGAAGACTCTTTAAAGTATTTGAAGACATTTGAAGTCCCTCACAAATATTCCATATACCTTTACCCATCTGTCTATTGCCAGACAGATTTAGTGTTTCAATCCTACAACAATGTTTTAGTGCATTTCCAATCTGTTTACTTTGTTCTTCGTTTAATTTGCAATATTTTAAACTAAGATCCTTCAAAGTGTTTGATAACACTTGAAGTCCTTCACAAATATTCAATATTCCCTTACCCATCTCTATATTCTTAGATAGATAAATTGACTCTATTTTAGAACAATGTTTTAGAAAATTTCCAAACTTTCTACTTTCATTTTCATTTAAATTACACTCATTTAAATTTATACTTTTTAAATTATTTGATGATATTTCAAGTCCTTCAAAAATATTCATTATTAATTTACCCACCTCTCTATGCCCAAAAACACTTACTGTTTCTATTCTTGAACAATGTTTTAGCAAATTTCTTATCTGGACACTTTGTTTTTCATTTAAATCAAATAGACTTAAATCAAGATTCTTTAAAGTGTTTGATGATAATTTAAGTCCTTCACAAATATTCAATATTCCATCACCCAAATTATTCCTCAACAGATTAATTGTTTCTATTCTGGAACAATGATTCAGCAAATTTCCAATCTGTTTACTTTGATCTCCATTTAAATTACACATATTAAAATTAAGGCTCTTTAAAGTGTTTGATGACATTTGAAGTCCTTCACAAATATTCAATATTCCCTTATCCATCTGCCTATTTCCAGAGAGATCTATTGATTCTATTTTAGAACAATGCTTCAAAAAATTTCCAATCTGTTTACTTTGATCTTCATTTAAATTACATAGCCTTAAATCTAGATTCTTCAAAGTATTTGATGACATTTGAAGTCCTTCACAAATACTCAATATTCCCTTACTCATTTATCTTTTCTCAGATAAACTTTTTGAGTTAATTTATTCTTTGGAAAACAATGGTAAAAAGTGTGAGTCTTTAAAATGTTTGAGAATTTTTTCAGTCAAATCCAAAACAATATGTGCATTAACAAGGAAGTACTTTCACATTATTTCCTACTCAAGATTCCAAACAAATTCCATGTTTAAATTAATCTTTATTGTTAACATCTTGATTGGCGGCCATTTTGAAATGGTGACTAATTCGTTTGTTTATTTTTTTTATGTTTAAAATCTTCTGTTGAAATTTGTTGTACAATTTTAAATATCATATCAAAGTGTAAAAATCTGCTTTATTAAAATGAATTTAGATTTTATAATATTGTTTATAGATACTAAATCAGAAAAGATTGATAAAGGGTATTCCTAAAACATGGACTGAATTTTCGTTGAGAGGTAGTACTGGAAAGTGCTGACAACACGTATGAATCTGGATTTACTACTGGCACTGTTGTTATAAATTGATTTTTTAACGAATTGTTTCTTTTAAGAAAATGATTTAAAATATTTCGAATTGTCGCTTTTGTATTTAAATGTTTTGTACATAAAGTATGACAATTGGTCAGGCTATTTTTCACTGATATCTGAGTAGTGTTGACAATATGTGTTGATTGTTGTAATTCAACATTTATGGTTGAATTTGAACTGATGTTTAAAACTAAAAAAAAATAAGATATCTTAAATTGAAATACTAGAAAAAAAAAAGACATGGTTCATATTTACCAGTTAAGCAGATTAACTTGAGTACAGCTACTGAGTACATATGAATTTTTAAATTTTCATTGGGAGAAAGTGTGATGATGTCAGTGATTCCTTCAAAATAGTAGATATTATCAGTTAGAGTTGATGTAACATCAACAGATTCTTTGATGATAGTCTGAATTCCTTGTTTATTTTCTAGAACTGAAGAAAAATATAAATTGTTATATTTAAAAATTGAAGAGAATCCTGCATCATTCTCTCTCTCTCTCTCTACAGTACCAGTCCAATGAGCACCCAAAAGAATAACTATTTAAATTTAATCCAGGCTTTACTGCTGTAGTTACAGTAGTTTTACAAATACTTTCATTTTCATCATTAAGATGCTTTTGCAGCGTTATATTAAAATTTGTCAAACGTTCAGCTGTACAGAGTAGTTGATTAGAGAAAAATGTCATCCCTACTGCTTTTACTCACCATAGCTTTTTCTATTTAACAAACAAACTCTATTTATGGAATAGATGTTTTTCAAATCCGCCATCCACCAACCATAATCTTGACTTTGAAACGTGTGACTGCATCGATATATTGTTTCAAACAAACGAATAAGAATACTTAATTACCCGTGCGATAAAGTAGAATGAGGAAGGAGAACATGATCTGAAATGATGAAATTTTTTCTTTCCCATATTAGTAGATCATTGTTGTAAATTCTGGAAAAGATAGACAACGAAATTAATAATTAATATTTAAGAAAAGGTTAGCAAAATTATTTTTTTTTAAATAAAATTTTGAACATTAATGATTGAGAATTTATGAATTATTCAATTAATCAGTCCTTTATTCACAAAATGTTACTTTTAAATAGCTAAATAATAAAGTTTTATAAAAGAAAAATGTAACTAACATTCAACAGCAATATTATTAATATCTTATATTTGCAGTCTATTCTGAAAAGGTTAGGTTAGGTTGCTGAAGCTGATTGATAGATTTTTGGAGCTACGGATTAGGTCTGTTGAGTCACAGGAGTTGGCTAGTGCTTATATTAGGCGGGGTTTATCTTCTAGGAATGATATAACTTTATCAACACGCTCCTTTTGAATTCTCTTTTTGAATGTAACATTTTTTGAATTCGATTGATGAATTATAGGCTCTAATCTTTGTTTTCTTCCATCCAAATCTATCATTGTGAATATTTTTAACTTTGGTATGTGCCTGTTAAATTTGAATTTTATATTCTTTCCTGTTAGATCTTTATGGTCTATTCAATAATAGATTTCTTGAAGGAAAAAAAGATCTAAAAGTTGGTGTTGAAATAAAAAGGGAACTAAAAAACTTACGCCAAAAAGATTATGCTACAAGTGGAAGAAAACTGGCTGAAACAGTTCTGCTTAATAACCAGGAAAATACTGATTTTCTACCAAACCTTCAATGTTTAAAAAGGATGGCCAATTCAACCAGGCAAAAAAAGAGGCCAATGGAACCAAAAGATAATGATTTTGAATTAAATATGGATTTCATACCAGCTTATAAATTGGCATTTAAAGTAAGTGTATAACTAATTATATTTTCAGTTTGTTAACTTTTAAATAATTCTCTGCAGACTATTAAGAAAATGATTAACTTGTCAGAGCCTGAAAAAGTCATTTTAGACTTTGAGATGGCACTATGGAAAACAATAATAAAAGTTTTTCCAAATACAACAATACATGGATGTGTTTTTCATTGCACTCAAGCAATTCATAGGAAAATTCAGGTAGATCTATTATTTAAATCAACATCTTATTTCATAATTAATTTGTTATTATCAGTCTCTAGGATATTCCAAACAATATGCGGTGAAAGGAGAAGAATGGAGAGATCTAAGGAAAATCATGGCATTACCATTTCTGCCATCTGATATCATCATTTCAACATTTGACAGACTCAAGTCTGAACTTTTAGAATAACAAAAATTTTCTGACCTACTGTTGTATTTTGAAAATTCATGGATATGTAATTCTATGTGGAAACCTGAAAATTGGTCAGTCTTTGGTCTATCAATTATCAGCATGGAATTTTATTTCTTTGCACAACACTTCCTTTTACTAGATTATTACCAATTCAAATTGAAACCAAATTGGATTGAAAATCATTAAAAATTCTTAAACTGTTGAATAAAATGTCAATTTTTTCTTTCCAACAACTGTTATTTCTGTAAGAGCAAATTCAGCTGAACCAACTAGTTAGCGGGTGAAACCATACCCATACCAGGTTAAAATGTTTCACCCCTATTCAACCAACTTGTGTAGCTGTAATTTATGCAATTTGCCTAGGAAGTATCTAAGGATCTAGCCCTGGAATAGAAGAATGCATTCAGTAGATAAATTCTAATGTGAAAGTTCCACCACCATAAACTGGAAATACAGCAATCTCAGTGGGTAACGAATGTTGGCTTGATATAGTAATTCTAAAGCTAAATTTTGCAGATAAACTGTTTATGTTTGTTGACATCTTGGAATAAAATATTTTGAATTAACATAAAAAAAGGAATTTTTTAATAAAATCAACCTTTTTTAGCATAGATTCTTGTTTTCAGAGTGGCAATCATTGATTCACATCCCCTAGTGCAAGTAATAGTTGTAGTAACCATGAAAGTTGTTGTGATACTTCCAATCAAATTATCTGGTATGATTATTAAAAATAAGTGTAAACAAGGGGATCATTTGAAATCTGATCCATATGAAATTGCATCAAGTTTAAGTCAAAGCCAGTTTATTTAATTGGTATGAGTATTTTCTTACAAAAAGTGTTATCTTATTGTACTTTGTTGTATTGTAATTGTAGGAATTTCTGTCTCTTCACAACAGTAATCGTCCTTTCCAATCAATTTACGAAATTTGCCAAAGTACTCTCACACAAATAGAACCTCAAGTTCATCCACAAAATACTAACCTTTTATTATGAATTCTGTTTTAAAATAATAGCAATCTATTAAACAAAGTTCACAGTTTTGCCAATGGAATGTGTATTGAGTATATGAGTTCCCATTCATATTATATAAACTGGTTACCTGTTCCATTTAATCTTCTCTAGTTAAATGAGATTATGGTTAATAAAGGAGTTTAACCATAAGTTTTTAACCATTGGTTGCTACGGAAAGATTCTTAATTAACAAATCTTTGTTATAACTGGAAGAAAAATTGACTGCAGTTAGCTTTAAATTTTTCAATAAAAATGCTTCGATCTAATAGACGTCTGAAGAAAAGGCATGGCAAGGCATATGTAATAAAAGAGGAAAATGTTATGTGCGCAATCTGCAGGGAATCTTGGGTTGATAAAAATCCAAGAATACTTCCTTGCCAACATACATTTTGCCTTGAATGTTTGGAGAATGTACCAGTAAATTACTCAAAAATTAAATGTTCCCTTTGTAGATTTGAATGTAATTTACCTGGTGATCAAGTTGCTAATTTACATAAGCCTTACTTTTTAAGTTCATTTGAAAGAGTAGAAGTAAATAATGATTTATGCCCGATACACAATGAAGAGAAGATATTATTTTGCCAAAGTCATAATATTGAAAATCTTTGCTTGCAATGCCATGATGAAAATCATTCCTCATGTAAAATAATATTGATGACAGCACTGAAAAAAAGAAAGGATGTCATAAGAAAATGCCTTGCTTCTGAACAGAAAATTTTAGATTCTTCATTAAGAGAAATTGAGCAATGTCAGAAAGAATTAATATTAAAACTACAAAATGATTTTAAATTTGTAAAGGAAAAAATGAAAGATACAATAAAGAAAAGAGAAAAAATCTTGAAAACATCTCTTCTATGGTTAAATAATGGCAAAGATTTTTTTGATTTTGTAACATCATTTTCAAATAATCAACCAAAATTTAAACTAGTCGAAGGGTTAAATTGGAAATATGAGATTGAAAATGATGAATATTTATCTGAATTTACTCAAAAATCTCTTGATTTTTCAAAGAACTGCTCTTCAGCAAGACTAGTAAATCAAATTAGGAAAAAACTTGAACAAAATCAATTTATAGAAAAAATAGTTCTTTCAGAAAATTGTAATAGGCTAAATGATTTTAAAGATATTTGTCAAGAATTGGCAAAATCATCAGATACTTTAAGAGAAATAACAGTTACTGGTTGTGACTTGATTGCTGAACAATTGTATGAAATTGGAAATCTGTTGATTAGTTGTTCAAAAATTGAGAAAATAAAACTAATAGGAAATGTGGCTAGATCATCATCAAATACCTTATCAAGACGTCTATCAGTTTTAAGACGTCTATCAGCTTTAAGACTCTTATCAGCACAACAATCAAGAGAGACAACAATGGAGGATGCAACAGAAGTTTTATGTCAGGGACTTTACTTTTCAGCAGCTACATTAAAAGAAATACATATAAGTGCATGTAGATTGAATGGCAACCATTGCATACAGATTGGAAAATTGTTGGAAAAATGTTTCAATATAAAAATATTAAATCTGTCATATAATAAAGATATAAAAGATGGAATAGAAAATATCTGTTCAGGACTATTGAATTCAGCTAATACCTTAATGGAAGTAGATTTCAGCAATTGTTCATTTGATGAGGAAATTCAAATGGAAATTTACAATTATTTATGGCATTGTCCAAATCTTGCACAGATTCTCTTGGGCTCTGATTAACTTTTTAAAAACATTTGTATGTCTATGTTATCCCAATATAGAGAACTGTCATTTTGTTTTTCTTAGACAAATAAACAACTACATATCCATGTAAGAATATTTGATTTTTGCCTTATGGTTGATAAGAAAGAATAGGGGTGAAACCGTACCTGGGTTAAACCTAACCACTAGAGGGTTAAACCGTACCCATTTTTTATTTAATATATTGTATATGTTTATTAAACTTGTGATAATGAAATCTATGTTATACTGATACAATGTATATAGCCAAATATATAAAGATGCATTTATCTAAACAATTAAAAGAATTAAAACGGAAATGAAAAGAAAAAGAGAATATGAAATGTAGGTAAAATCTATGGAGCATATATATCAGATGTTTTTTAGCAATAATTCATCTGCTAATATTTCCTAGTTTTGTATTCATCCCAAATGTCAAATATTTTTTTTTCTCTCTTCATATACTTATGTCCCTGATATCTATATATTTGTTTCTCAGACATCACCTTTTCATAGATAATCATCCACTAATATGTAGAATGAGCCTTTTGAATGCACTTGACTATTCATCCTGTTGTACCAACCCTCCAGACTATTATTTGTTCTAATTGATAGACCAAACACTGACCAATTTTCAGGTTTTCACATACAATTACATATCCAAGTACTTTCAAAATACAACAGTAGGTCAGCCAATTTCTATTGCTCCAGATAAGAAATAAGTGTTTAAAGGCATCAACTATGAATATAAAAATCTGTTGGTTTTGTATGAAAAAGTTTTACTATAACCAACCAATGGAATGTCTGAAGTGATTAAAAAATCACTGTTTTGAGTTGAAATTACTTACCTATCAAATTATTCTTTTCTAAATTCAGAGATTCAGTAGTTTGCTTAAATTCTTGTTGACCATAATTCTTTGATCTCTAAAGTCTAAATATTGGTATAAAATTATATCTAAGTGTAAAATTATATGTCTTAGTATTCTCTATTTAAACATTTTTGGAATACAAATACCAGTTTAAAATTTTGAGTCAGCCATTTTAGGTATGATTTCACCCCTATTTGCTTGCTGAACTGAACTGAGCTTCTGAACAAAATTTGAGCAAAACCAAGCAGTTTTCCAGCTATGGCAGTTTCAAATTGACAGTGGTAGGTGCAGTTAATGCCTTACTCTCTCTTACTACTATACCACCCTATGTTCTACACCACCAACTATTGTCCTATTTTTCTATTTCCTATGAAATAGAAGTCAAATGTAGTTGATAACCTTTATTGTACAATAAACAACTTTGATGACTTTTTTTACTTGAGAATTTTGCATGGTGGAAAGGTGATTTGGGAATAATTTGTTAGTTTTTTTGCAATATCAATTATATCAAGACCTTTCGGTGCAGAAAGATCTAAACATATTCATGAAAATTGCCTGACACCACTCCTACATCAGATATATTTTATTTCAATTACTCAGTAAAGTTTTTGTTATTTTTCAATATTTTGCAACCTTCTACTTTATTATTTATGAAAATAAATATTAAAAGATGTAGAATATGATTGAGGTAAAAGAAATTTTAGTAGCTTGAATTCAATCAAACTCTTGTGATAAGGTGGGCTGGGGTTCAAATCCTTAATAAGAATTTTGGGAAGAGTAGCTCTGGTTTCAACAGCTCCTGGTCTTTAAATGATTAGGCTTAAAAAACAATGCATAATCAGTCAAAATTTATTTGATAGAATGTAACAAATATCACTCTGCTATTAATAGCTTCATAAAGCCTGACTAAATATAAAAAAATTGACGTTTTTCTTTTTTTAAACAGTTTATTAATGAAGTAAAAAAAGATATTTGTTTTGCTAGGTTGTAAATCTTGATCAATACAGCCTTTGGCTATTCTTCATTTCCTGGCTTGGTTCGCTAAGAAAGCAAAAAATTATAATAGAAAACAGCATTAGTAAATGGATTCTACCCTATCCCGAACTCAAACCCTTGTCTGTACCTAACCTTTGATGAGAAGCTCCTATATGCAAAAACAATTACTGTTTTCATTTTCCTACTACTTTTCAATCTAAAATCCATCATTGACCAAGTTTTGTGTAGAGTGGTGTGTATACAATGTGCCACAACAAATTCTATTAATTATAGACAAATATTGTAATTGTAACCTTAATTTAATATTATAATTTAATTAATACTGTATATTTATCTATTAACTCAAATTCAGATCACTTTGCTTAAATGTCAATTATGCTTTCATTTGAAGTTTTAGATTTTAATCATTATAGACAACATGCAATAATCAGACATACTTCCTCTGCAAATATTGATGCTAAATTTATTAACTGAAACAATTAATTATTATTATTAAAGTAGAATGTAAAAAAACAGTCAAACATAAAATTCCCTTTAATTCAACCCTTTAAAGAGTATATAAACCCAACAAAATTAACAGTTGATACCCTAAATCTAACCTAGCCTAACTTTAACCTTGATTGGAAAGGATGATTACATCAGCTGATGTTAATTGTTAATTCTTTTTTCAAACAAATATTTTACTCAAATTTTTAAAATGAACAACATGTTTTTTTCCTTTCCCTTTGTACTTTATTGTATTGTAATGTTAGAATTTCTGGTCTTCCACATCATTATTTTTCTTTTTGTATCAAATACTGTGGAGTATACTACTTGGGATGCATTTCAAATAGATATCTGCTTATAGAATGGCAGATATCAAAAAGCAGCATTTTTGAAGGTTGCTTCATGGATTCTTATCGATGCAAAAGTGTTTGCTGATTTATTGATAAAATGTTCATTCTGATTGTAATTTGCCAAGTAATATATAAACAAGCTGATAATGATTTGTATCATCTTCATTTTTCATTATATACAATTAACAGAAAGCAAAATCTCATGTTCAAAATCATATAACAATTTTTAACAATATTTTAATAAATGCCTAATCTTTAACTCAACATCTTGATGATTGTTGAAGTCCTTCACAAATATTTATTATTCCATTACTCATGTTGTCATTCCAATATAGAGTCATAGTTGTTATTTTTGAACAATGTTTCAGCAAATTTTCAAACTTATCGCAGTGTTTTTCAAGTAAATTACATCTACTTAATTCCAGAATCTTCAAACTACTTGATGACCTTTGAAGTCCATCAAAAATATCCAATATTCCATTACCGATTTGTTCATTCACAGTTAGCTTAATTGTTTCTATTCTTGAGCAATAATTTAGCAAATTTCCAATATACTTTCCTTGTTTTTCATTTAATTCACACCAACCAAATTTCAAATATTTCAAAGTATTTGATGACATTAGAAGTCCTTCACAAATGTTTGATATTCCATCAACTATCTTCATATTCGCTACTAAATTGATAGTTTCTATTCTAGAGCATTGATTTAATAAATTTCCAATCTCTTTACTCTGCCTTTTATCTAAATCACACCAACCCAATTCCAGTGACCTTAAACTATCTGATGACATTTGAAGTCCTGCAACAATATTCAGTATTCCATTGCCCATACTTATATTTTTTGATAGATTTAAATTTTGTATTCTAGAACAATGATTTAATAAATTTCCAATCTCTTTACTTTGTTTTTCATCTAAGTAACTGATATAGCTTAAGAGAATTTAAAGTATTTGATGACATTTTAAGACCTTCACAAACATTTATTATCCCATCACCCATTCTTTCATTACAAGATAAATTTATTGACTTTATTCCAAAGCAATGTTTTAGTAAATTTCCAATCTCTCTACTTTGTTCTTCGTTCAAATTGCAACTATTTAAAAAAAGGTTATCTAAAGTATTTGATGACGTTTGAAGTCCTTTACAAATGTTCAGTATTCCTTTATTCTTAATTAGTAAATTACCAATATCTCTACCTTGTTTTTCATCTAATTCACAAAAATTTAAGTTCAGAGTCTTTAAACTAGTTGATGACATTTTAATTCCTTCACAAATTTTTAACATTCCATTATGAATTTGTTTAGTGCGGTTTGGTTGACATCTTGAACAAAGGATTTGATCATTTTCAACTTGCTCTTGTTTTAAACATTTACTACACAATAGATGTTGACAACGAAGTATATTTTCATTATTTTCTACACAAAACTCAAAACAAATGGCACATGCCAGTTTCTGTTGATTATTCTTAGCTGTTATGGTCGCCATTTTGAATTTTCTACAATTTTTGTTTACTCTAGCAGAAATTTAATACTTGCTTTTATTTTATGTTTAATGCAATATTTCATAAATGTCTATTTTTAAATTGTAAATATCCATGCAATTTTTTAGAAATTAAAACAGTAATTATTAATAATTATTACAAATCGGTATTACTAAATCATGGTGGGAAAAATATTTGAAGTCTAGGAAAAGATTTGCTGAAAGATATTGCAGCTTTAGAGACAAAAAGTTTCAGTTCATAAAAAATCCTCTTTGTGATGCTTTAGTGTAAGGTTTTCCAAACAAGTGGTACAGAATGTCTTGGCTAAAGGGATGAAATATCCCATGTAATGATGAACATTAAGGATACAATTGTTATCAGTTTGACCAGTATTGTATAAAATGTTTTTGTATAGAATTTATCTAATGATAATAATAAGACATAGTTCAATACTATATTTTATCTACTTTTGTGACAACATAAACTAAAAATGGCTGCTGTATATTTTGTTGATGGAGAAAATTTTGAATGTGATATCTGCTTAGAATCTTGGGTAGAAAATGACTCCAGAGTGCTCCCCTGTCAACATAGCTTTTGTCTTAGCTGCTTGAAGAAATTACCAATAATAGGTAGCAAACAGGAAATTATTTGCCCACATTGTAGAGAGAAGTGTAAAGTGCCTGATGGGGGAATTGAGAAGCTAAGAAGGAATTTTTGTACAAGTTCATTGCAGAAAGTACAGCAGACAAAGGTTGGCGAATTATGCTTAAAGCATCAAAGAGATTCATCTCTATTTTGTAAAACTCACAATATTGGCAATCTTTGCGCTCTGTGCTTTGATGAAAATCACGTGAATTGTGAAATGACAACTACAAGAAGAGTTGAGAAAGAGAAGAATAAGCTGCAATCTTTAATAATTGAAGAAAGACAAAATGGAGAAAATCATCTGATAGAAATTGAAGAAATGGAAAAATCCTATAAAGAACAACTCGAAAAGGAATTTAAAAAAATTAAAGATGAATTCAAAAAGATTAGCACAGGCAGAGAAGAGTTACTCATTAAATTCATAGATCAAAACAGTGGACAAGAAAATTCGTTTGAAATGTTGAAAAAATTTTTGGAAAAGAAGCCAAAAGTAAAAATATCAAACAACTTTCACCTTAACTATCAAATAGAGAATAAGAATTTTAAAAATTATCTTAACATTTCAAATTCTAAAGCAGAGAAATCAAAGAAGAAAGTTGAGAAGGATGATAAATTTCAGATAAGGAAAATTGATGTATCTGGAAAAAATATAATGGGTGAAATGTCATACATTTCTGATATTATTCAAAATTCTTTGAATATTATACAAGAATTCAATTTTCAAAATTGCAATTTAGTCAAAGATCAATGTGTAACTATTGGAAATTTATTGAAGAAATGTTCCAAAATTCAGGTAATAAACCTAGAAAGAAATTTAATGATGGATGGTGGATTATCAAATATATGCAATGGATTATATAAATCAA